CCCATCAGAAAGAGAGAGACGAACAGTGTGACCTCCTACTGGACAGGGGACTAGAAACCCCAACCCAACCCAATGTGCCAACACGGTGCCAGAGAGGTAGGAAGCGACATATGTCCGAGTTAGGAGATGACAGAACTAGGGGAGGAGGGAGAAATTCAAAGAGAGGCTGATGTCAGTCACGGAGGCTAAGTTACAAGGAACGAGAGTGGCTGAACGCGATTAAGAAACAGAAGGTAAAAAATAAAAAAAATAAAAAAAGAAACAGAAGGTGTTGGCCTTGCCAGGTTCTTGCACGTATTAATGTATCTGCATGTCTATCTAGGTAAGACAGACGGGATAAATAATTCGGAGATGAAAAGAACGGGACCAATGGATCCAGGGGGGATATGGGAGAAGGGGAGGTAGGAGAAGAGAAAAGGGGTGGTGGGGTGGTGGTAACCAACCCAGGGGCAAGGGAACAACAAGTGAACTATAATCAATGGAAGGAAGGTCATAGTGGGGTTTAATCAAGGGCAATTACTAAACCAGCAAGGAATTACTAAACCCAAATGAAGGCCGAACATGATGGTGGGACAAGAGGAAAGTAAAAGGAAATAGAGGAAAGAACCAGGAGGCAAAGGACATTTATAGAGGCCTAAAAACAGGCATGTCCATGTGTAAATACATATACAATGAGAGGGGAATAGAACTATGTACTCATATCTATATGTTAAGAATTAAGGTTGCAGATGGACATTGGGCCTCGACTCAAGTACTCCCTCAACACAAGAACACTTGGTTGTAACAGTCCGGCATTCTGAGATACTCACCTTCCCGACATGATTGCTGAAGACAAAATGGATGCATAAGCAAATGTGGTGAAGAAAGCTGATGGTGCCCAGCTACCAAAAGATATAGTGTCTGGGGTCTTAAAGGCTTGAAGATAAATAAGCGGCCATCTAGCTGAGAAGCAACAAAGTCCACATGGAAGAAGCATACCAGCCTGTGTGATCATGAGGTGTTGAAGAGATCAGGTATCAGGCATCTAAGACCCAGAACAAAACCATACCCAAGGTGAATGGGGGGTTGGGACATGGAGTGGAGACCCAATGCCCACCTGTAGACAATTGGACATCCCCTCACAGAGGGGTCACAGGGAAGAGATGAGCCAGTCAGGGTGAAGTATAGCACCAATGAAACACACAACTTTCCTCTAGTTCTTTGGTGCTTCCTTCATCCCACTATCATGACCTCAATTCTACCTTACAAATTGGATTAGACCAGAGCATGCACACTGCTACAGATAAGAGCCCACAACACAGGGAATCCAGGATAGATAAACCCCTCAGGGCCAACAAGGAGAGTAGAGATACTAGGGAATTAGGGAACGGTGGGGGAAGAAAGGGGGGATTGATCACAAGGATCACAAGGATCAACCTAGAACCCCCCTTCCAGGGGGACGAATAACAGAAAAGTGGGTGAGGGGTGAGGCAGGATGATATCAAATATGGAAATAATAATCTATAACTTATCAAAGGTTCATGAAGGAGGGGGGCGGGGGAGGGTGGGGGACGAAATGGGTAGCTGATATTAGGGGCTAAAGTGGGAAGAGAATGCTTTGAAAATGATGATGGCAGCATATATGCAAATATGCTTGACACACTGGATGAATGTATGGATTGTGATAAGAGATGTAAGAGCCCCCAGTAAAAGTTTTTTGTTTGTTTTTTTTAAAAAACAGAAGGTGGACCTTTTTCAAATGAAAAGGAACTAAGAACTGATGAGTTATTAATGATGGGTGTGGAGTTTGGGATTTGGAGGGTGGAGATTGTGATTAAAGCATTCTAACATTAGACAGTCATGATCATTGTGAATTTCTTGACTATATCAAAAACCAGTGAACTAAGTTCATATATTACCTACCCATCTACCTACCTACTTACTCATCTACTCATCCATCCATCCATCCATCCATCCATCCATCCATCCATCCATTTATCTATCTACATATTTATCTATCTATCCCTTATTCAGTGCTAGTATGATAGTTGTAGTTTTCATACTTCATAACATATACTTAAATCACACTATTAAGAAAAGGAGCCTTAGTGATGCAGCTGTTAGCTGTGCTTGACTACTAACCAGAAGGTCGGTGGTTTGGATCCACCAGCCTCTCCTTGGCAGAAGGTTGTGGCTGTGTGCTCAGTAAAGACTATGGTTCTTGTTGCTAGGGTTATGGAGCCACTTCTGACCCACGTCAACCCTATGCATGACGGTCGCTGTTTGAGCCAGGGTTGCAGCCACCGTCAACCTCTTTTCACGGGCCTTCTACTTTACCGAGTCTGATGTTCTTCTCTGGGGCCTGGTCTCTCCCGAGGACACGCCCAAGGTACATGCGTCTAAGGAGCGTCCTTAGATTTGTTTGTTCTTCTAGCAGCCCATGGTATAGTCGATATTCTTCACCAACACCCTAATTCAAGGCACCGATTCCGAACTGGCTTTCATATGCTTAGGAGGTGCATGAAAATAGCATGGCTTGCGTCCGTCCGGTGCATCTCAGTTCTGAACGCGACATCTGTGCTTTTGTACACGTTGGAAAGGCCGTTTGCATCACGTTTACCCACTGCGATCGTCATTTAATTTCCCGACCTCTGCTTCCATGATTGTTGAGTCTGGAGCTGTACACATTACCACCTTGGAAACCTTCTGGGACAATGTACTTGGTCCTAGAGTGCCACTATGAGTCAGAATTTATTTAACAGCAATGAGTTAGGCTTATCATGAATAAACCAATCTTAGAAGAACTACAAACAGAATGCTTCCTAGAAGCGAGGATATGCAAGCCTTGAGCTCACTCTGGATACATCGTCAGGAAAGATGGATCGCTAGGAAAGGACATCGTGTTTGGCAAAGTGGAGGGTCGATGAAAACAAGGGAGGGAAACCGTCCATGAGGTGACTGATAGAGGAGTCACAACAATAGGCTCAAATTGACTACATCCTGTGATCACGAGGGCAGCACAGGACTGGGCAATGTTTTGTTCTGTTACATATAAATAAGGTCCCCGTGCACCGGAGCCAACACATTGGCAAGTAGCAATGACAAACTGGGAGGTGAAGACGGACAGAAACAAAGAAAAGGGGGTGGGGGAAAAAAAAAAGAAATGAAGAAAAGATGTTCAAATATCTAATAAGAGAAACAAAAAGAATTACAGATAGTCCATGAAGATCCAACATACAAATAATAGGCATCCCTGGGAAACAAATAGTATATAAAGGGAAGTGTCTTTTTACAGAAGTGCTATAGTTAATAAGTGGAAGAGCATTAGAATAATATCACCTTGTAACTTCCCATGCGTTCATTGATCCAGCCCCAATGAGAATCTACCCCTGCTAATCTCACATGACAACAGATGGAATACGCCTCCCAGTGGAAGAGTCAGCATGCCCTCCTCTATCTGGTCAAAGGGCTGGTATCTGAGTCCGATCAAACTTCTGGATGTAGAGAGGAACAAGCTGAATGGTGCCGTGAGGATGAGATTGGAAATACCTGGTCTCTGAGAAACTCCAGACTGGGGGGGACTCAAATAGCCCTGGGGACTTCAACGGACAAGTTTTAAGGAAAAGAAAGTGCTGGACAGGGCCCACTAGATTTAACCACTAGATTAAAAGAAAGAGCTAGGAAACCAGATCTATGTATTTGTGGGTTTATATGACATCCTATGTATTTCAGAGCAAAGACTGCACTGTTGTGACTGTGGATGTGAGCACGTGACAGAACAAACATGAAGAAACCAAGGGGGTGTCGGGTCAGGGGTTGTTTAGGGAGGACGGGAAGAACCATGAGGCTGATAGGCGGCATGGCTGGAATTCTGGGGAGGCTGACCGACCCTAAGCCAGATCCTGTCAGTCGTGTACCCAAAGCCCTCTAAGGTTGCCCCTTCCATGCAGAACAGAAGCTAGACTCCCAACAAGACCCCCCTGTTGCCTGTTGGTCTCATCTCCAGCCACATAGGCCTCCTCACTTTGTTCTGAACATCTACCTGTTCCCTCTGCCTGGGCCACCCTCCCCCCAGCTAGCTCTCTCAGTGGCTCACGCCTGGTCTCCTTCAAGTCTTTCTCCACGTTGGCTTCCCAGTAAGGTTTTCTTGGGCCCTCTGGAGAAAACCACCTTCTCCAATGCTTCCTAGTCTCCTTCCCTGCTTTCCGCTTCTGCACAGCACTGAGCGCATCTTACACGGCCTATTGATCTTGGGTTGGGTCTGACTAGTCTCTACAACAGTGCCTGGCGGCCACCTGGACCCCATGACCATAGAAGGTTGCTGGATGATTGGACCCAGGACAGAGGCAAGCCCTGGAACTGTTCTCCTTGCTGGCTGGGGGCCCTGCCTGCTGGTCACAGCCAAGACTGGGCCCCAAGAGGACAGCTCTCCTGACAGTGCCGGTCTGGGTGACACTCGTCCCTGCCCAGCCCAGGAATGCCACAAGGGTCACGGTGGGCCATCTGTGCTGGATGTTGGAGATAGGGCCAGTGTTCTGGCAAAGAGAAGTCTGTCTGGCAGTGGCCCGGTGGGGGGGGACACCGGGCTGGGTTTGGGGAGCTGGAGTGGGGATTCGGACCATCAGGATTTAGTACCTCGCGTGGGCAGGCCTGTGTTCGGTTTTGTCAGCAGCAGGGATGTGGAAGGGTTTCCACTCCTAAGAGCGACTAGCTCACTTATATGGACTCCTGGGGACAGGGGAGCAGGCAGGGCCTTGGGCAAAGTTTCCATGTCATTGCAGCCCCTCCCCGGACTCTGGGATCTAGACCAGTCATGAAATCTCAGAGACTCTGTAAAACGGGGACCGACGTGGCACCTGGGGAGGATGGATGAGGATACACAGGGCACCATGTCCCCCAGAGGCTGGCCCCGCAGGCGCTGGGGTCACTGGGGGCCAGATGGGGGCCAGGAAGTCGTCCCTGGGAAGCATCTCTGGGAGATGGGGCCCAGGCTCCTGGAGGCTGTGGGGTCCACTACTTACCACTACTTCCAGGTCAGAGTTCAGGTGCCGCTGGATGTCAGACATCTGCACCAGGACCTCCCCTGGGACATGGAGGGGAGGCTTCAGGGTGGGGAGTCTGCTCTGCCCACCCGCTTCCCACCAGGAGCTGCCTGGGGCTGGTTTCGGGACCAGAGTTGAGAGCTCCCATAGGGCTGCAGGGAATGGGAAGGGGCTCAGACTCCAGGAATGAGTCTGAGCTGGGGTGCGGTAGGGAGGCCTAGGTGCGGGGCTGTGTCTGGGGCACTTTCCAGAAGGGCACATCTGGGAAGGGACCCCTAGGGCGGTGGGCAAAGACAGTTGCAGGCCCTGGGACGGAGGAGGGACCCTGCTCAGGGACAGCAGGAGGAGGAACTGGGCAGAGGACCCCCAACCCCCTGGAGGCTGGTAGTGTATGGGGAGTTCACTCACCCAGGATCTGTGAGGTGGTGCTCTGTAGGGCCTGCTCCCCAATCTTCTGGATGGCATTGAAGTATACCTCAGCTGCCTCGGACAAAGCTGGGGGAGAAGGGGAGTCCAGTTGGCACCCCTCCTCTACTCCACCCCCGCCCCTTGTCAGGAGAGAGGGTGTGGGGATGTGGCACTGTGCTGGGTGGGCAGTGGGGGTGGAGTAGGGTGGGGCTCCTGGTGGGGCAGCTGCCCTGGAACAAGGTAGACACAGGTGTTCAGCCCAGTGTACACCCGTCAGCAGGTGGGGCCGAGCTGCTGCGTCCGGGTGCAGGGGGCCCAGATGGGTGCAGGCTGGCAGTGGGGAGCATGAGACAGCACCCCTGGACCTCCCCTCCCACAGCATCCTACAAAGCAGGAGGGACGGGGTGGCCTTCAGCTCTGGGGGACTGGCTCTCCACAGTGTCATCGTCCCCAGAGGGCCTCGACTCGTGATTCTCGTGGTGGAGGGGTGGTGGTGGAACTATGGAGACCACACAGGGGTGGGTGAGTGCTGGGGAGGCTGGCTTTGCCCACAAACAGCTGGGGGTGTCAGGCTGGGTAACGGAGGTGGGACTGGGGATGGTGGTGGGGCATGGCGGGGCCGGGGTCTGCTAGTGGGAAACGGATAGCTGTGTGGCTGGATGGTGCGGGACCTCACCTGCCTGCTGCTCTCTCTCCGGGAGAATTTGGGGGCACCCGCTCCAGGGGTAGGTAAGGGTTGTGGGCATGGGGGTTAGATGTTTGGGCACTGGAAGGAGAGGGTGTCCAGTGGGCTAGGGACCTGCCTGGGTGAAGGGGAGCTTTGGTGGGGAGGTGGTGCCGCATGGAGGGGGCCTGCACTCACCGTGGAAGGCCCGCAGGTAGTTATTCCCCAGGTACACCAGGTTCTCCAGGGCAGGGTTGAACTGCTCCATTATGCTCTGTGCCAGGAGGGCAAAGGTGAGAGGGTGCATTTGGGGTGAAAGATGGCGTGCTGTGGGACTTGGGGCCCCAGACTCTAGGGCCCCCTAGAAGCCTGGGATCACCCAGAACCCCTGCTTTCTGCCAGCAGGCTCCTAGAAGCCCTCTTCTGGGGTCCTCCATTACAGTCGCCCTTGTCATCAGCTCCTGCTCACCCACTTGCCCTGACAGACCTCAATCCTGGGCACAGCGGCACCCATCATAGGGACCCGCTGCCCACACTGGCTGAGCCTGTCGGGTTGCCCTGGTCCTGAGTCTGGACCTCCCTGGTCTGGACAAGGTCAGGGGGGTTCAGGGCCAAGGGCGGACGTCATTCCTTTCAACACAACCCCTTGGGAGGGTCATGCTGTCTGGACACCGTGGGCGGCTAGAGAGCAGCTGGGCGGAGGGACAAGCCTGACCATGCCCTGAGACTTGGTTGTGGTTCAAATCCCAGCAATTCCTCTTCCTCTCTCTGTGACCTTAAACCAGCTGCTTAACCTCGCAGGGTTTATCAAACCGCATCGCTCCCTCCTCATCTTCCAAATGGGTGATTACTCTCCAAGGGCCAATGCTGTGAGGCCCACAGGGAAGGGGCCTGTGGACAGTAGGTGCTTAATAAATACCTAAGGGGTCTGCGTGCCTCGGAGGGGCTTGGACACGAGAGACATCCCCAACCCACCCAACCCACACCCCACTGGCTGTGTGCCAGTCCCTTTCTCTACGGCTCTGGGGTCCCACCCTTAGGCTTAGATGTGAGGGCCCCTCTGCTCCCAGCTCCAGCCATCTCCCAGGCCAGTCCGGCCTTGTCTGTGTGTGGGGGGGTGGGAGGGATGGGGGGATGTCTGTCGTGGCTGGCCCCCTGCCCTGTGGGGCTGTGGACAACCCTGCCCTGGAGCCCCAGCTTGCGGCTGGCCCAGCGGCTTGCACCTCAGGTGCCCACCCCCAGGTCCCCAGCATGGGGCAGCCTGGCGCCAGGGGGCCCTTCCTGAGCATGCGGCCGCCCTCCAGTGCCAGGGCTGCCCAGCCCTCACCTGGTAAATGGCAATCGTGGACCTGTAGAGGGGGTCCATCTCGGGGGCCATGGAGGGGGCGCTCGGCACGGGCAGGCTGAAGAACAGGTGCTGCCTGCTGAGCCCACAGGTGCCCACAGCTCGCCAAGCAGCACAGGAAGCTGCGGATCGGGCCTTGGGGCAGCAGGGCTGGAGGTGGCGACTGGCCGCTTAATTATTCACCAGCCGGGGATGTCAGAATCTGATCCGGGGCGTAACCAGACCCACCAGGGATGGCGTCCTGTGACGCAGGCGGCTTCGCGTGACCTGCCCCTTCAATTATTTACCCACGGCCCCAGCCGGGCGTGGGGGAGGGGGGCCGAAACGTGGGAGCCGGTCTCCTGACTCCTTACCCAGGGTGAGGTAGCGCAGATGGTGGGAGACCCACCTACCTGCCTCCCAAGAGAAGGGCCTTTCTGTGACCCCCTCTGGCTAGAACCCCTCCCCCAACAGACCGGCCAGTGGGCACTGCTTTTGTTGGTCCCCATAGGGCCTGGGACTCCAGGCCGGCAGCGCCCCCTGTGGCTACCCCAGTGTAGCCTGCAGGGAGGCAGCAGCTGACCCCTCTGGGGTGGTCACATGCCTGCGGAGCCAGTGCCCTCTCGGGGCCTCAATCCCCTCTGCCCCCAGCCCCCAGGGACCTTCCCTGGGGCCCTGGCCCTGCACCTCGCAGGTCTGTCCTGGAGAAGGGTATCCAGTGCTAGTCCCCCAAATCCTGCTCTGTGGACGACAGGCAAAGTGCCCCCACCCAGAGAGCCCACAGGAAGACGAGAGGTCAGGGCTAAAGGCAGCCACGGCTGTGCTCCCACCACAGTGAACACAAACTGCAGCCACTCAGTTCACCAGGTTTATTTCACACTCAGCCACTTCCTTGTTCAGAAGCACTGGCTCCCAGGGGTGACCTTTGGGAGCGGGGCAAGCGCGCGGCGGCGGGTGGCTCTGAGAGGCGTGGGGGGCAAAGTCAAACAGGCATCCGGTGCCCGCGCCCTTTTTCCTGCCGTTAGCCCCAAAGAGAAGGGGGTCGGTGGAAGGGGATGCTGGGTGGTCTCCGTGGCCCTGCAAGGGGCCGGGTGGGGCATGTGTACACCCTTAGTGTTGCAGCTGACAGGGCAGGCGAGGGCTCCCGCCACCTGCCGAGGTGGCAGCAGAGGAGGGCGGGCCCCAGGCCAGCTCGGGCGGGCGCTCCGGGCAGGCTGGTGGACTCAGGGCTGGAGCAGCAGCTGGATGAGCCTCTGGAACTCCTCTCTGTGCTCGTAGATGTAGACCTCGGTCTCCCACAGGGCGTTGACCAGCACCGCATCGCTGACCTCATCCAGCATGATGTCTGCCCCCAGCTGGGGGTTTAGCCTGTCGGTGCCGGGGAGGAGGGGTCACCTGGGGGACAAGGGCTGGGCAGGGGGTGAGCACAGAGCCGTCCCCAGGGGAAGGGGAGGTTTGGGCCAGGCCCAGCGAGCCTCACCTGAAGTACTGGATGCCAACCATCTCGCACCAGGCCCGGGCCCGGTCCACTGCCCGCCCGTCAGGGTCCGTGCACTAGGGGGTGACAGGGAGGGGGGCAGTGAGTGCCCATCCTACCCTGAAATCTCCATGCTGGTTTGGTTGTAGCCTAGCCAGGACTGGCCTGGCTACAGCCCAGGGTCAGTGAGGGTGGGAGCAGGGGTCGAGCAGCTGAGCCTCCTGGTCCCCGGGGCCTCACGGCTGCCACCCATCTTGGCTCTAGATGGCCCTACTGGGTGGGGCAGCCGTCCCACAGCGGCTCCCCAGGGCCACCGCCTCCCCATCTCCCAGCTCACCCACCAAGGGGCCCCTACTCACACAGTCCACCACCATCTTGCCCAGTTCCTTGGCCCCAAACACGGTCTTGGCCAGTTCCCAGGGGTTGCTGGGACGGAAGACATCCACACAGGTCACGGGCACCTGTGGGGACCTCCCTGTGCCCAGGGACACGACGATGGAGAGTTTCTTCACCTTGTTGCCCTGACCCTGTTGCCAACAGGACGGTGGTCAGGGCTCCAACGGGTCTTGGCTCTGGGGCGGGGCCAGAGCAGGCGGTGGGGGTGAAGCACGGCCTGGGCACACATCTGACAGACCCAGGTGGTCTACCCTTCCCACACATGGGCTGCTGTGGCCACCTGGGTGACCATGACAGGGGACACACTCTGTGGCCCAGCAAGGGGTCCATGCACGAGAGGGGGGGGGCTCTGGTGGGGCAAACGTCTACCCGCTGGGCTGCTCACCCCAAGGCCCGGGGCTCAAAGGCTACTTAGAGGCATGCTGCAGAAAGGCCTGGCTACCCACTTCCAGAAACCCTTGGGAGCAGTGCCACTTGGACCTGGGGTGGGCAGTGAGGACTGCACCTAGAACACTCCTTCTCAGGCTCTGGTCAAGGTCAAGGTCAAGGTCAAGGTCATGGCCCCCAGGCGGGAAGGGAGTTGCCATCCCTCGGGGCCTGGGACTTGCCAGGCATGGTCATCAGCCTCTCCCTCAACCCTGAAGTCTGTGAGGGACACTGATGGCATGGCGCCACCTCACCACCAAGGCCTCAGGGAGCCAGGGCTGAGGGGCTTGGCCTCCAGTGTGCTGGGCCACCTCTGCGGGTGGCACCCACCCTGGCTTTGGGACTCCTCATCCCTAATAGGGTGGTCTGGGACTGGGTGGCCAATAGGACCCCTTCCTGTCCTGAGTTTCCGTCTGGAGGCCGGCTCTGCCCTGTCTGCACCCTAAAGGGCGTTCCCAGTGCCCAGCACCCAGAAGCGCGGCTTCACCCGCAGGGGCTGCCTCCAGCAGGGTGGCCGAGCATGGGCACAGCTGGAGGTGCTGTTTCGCCCACTGACATTCAGCTCCAGGTGAGCCCACATGGTGCAGCGTGGACCAGCCCCCGAGGGTTATCTAGGTGGGGATCTTTCTTTAATGGAACTGACTGGGGGGGGGTCTTTCTCCCTGGGGGGCCACTTGGGGGGTTCAAACCATCCACCTTTCATCTAGCAACCTCGTGCTTAACTTCTGTGCCACTAGGGCTTGCTGGTTAGAAGCCCTCATCACTGCCATCCATGGAGTCGATGCCGGCTCACAGTGACCCATAGGACAGGGGGAACCGCCCGTGTCTCTGAGACTGCCACTCTTCATGGGGCGAAAAGACAGCCCTGCCGGTCTCCAACTGCAGACCTTGCGGATTGGAGCCCGACCCTAATTGGTAGCACAGCAAAGCCCGAGGAAGCCAGGCCTGTGTAGGGAGCAGCCCAAAGGAGGGGAGGAACGCTCAGATAGGTCCCACTGGTGGACAGCGACTGACACACGTGGGGAGCCCACACCCTGTCTGGGTGGACAACCAGGAGGCCTGTCTGGCAAGGCTGCCCCGCTGCGCCCAGCGAAGTGAGGTGTGGGGAGAGGCAGGACCAAGTTCAGAGCCGCCTCTGCCAAGACTGCTGCGTTCTGCTCCTGGGATGTCAGACCTCTTCCTACTGATCGGAGGCTCTGCACTGCCTTTCTCCGATGGCCTCCGGGACTGTCCCCTCTTGCGAGCCTCTAGGCCTCTAACTGCCCCCTCTTTTAGACCCTCCTTGTACCTGAGATCCTGGAAGGGGCAGGTCCTGGTGTACAGAGGGTCTGCCGGGTAGATGTGAACACATTAGGGGTGCATGCATCCCAAGCTGAGCCTTCTGCCCCAGCAGGAGATAACCCTCTGCCGCTCAGCACGATCGATCGCTCTGGGCCACAATCCACACGGCCACCCGATCAGTCCACTCGTGGGCGAAAGCCGTAGGGTAGAGGAGACGTGGTTGTGAGCAGGTCCTGAGGGGCCCCTTGGCCTGCAGGCTGTGGCACTCACCTTGCGGGCCAAGTCCTGGTTGTACTCGTGGATCTCAGTCATAGCGTCCAGCGTGGGGTTGTTGGCCAGCAGCCCGCCATCCAGGAAGCGCCCATTGGGCCGGAAGTAGGTGGGGGCTGCCCCGCTGCTGCGCGCTGCCCTCCACACAAGCTGTTCTGCGGGCAGGAGGTGGGAGAGGGTGGCCCAGTGGCACACACGTGTGCCTCCCCTCTCAGCTGGTGTGTGCGTGCATGTGAGGCTGCAGGGATGTGGGGGCCCTGTGACCCGGTCCAGTGTGCTGGTGGAAAGCGGGGTGCAGCTCTAGCCGCCCACCCCACCCACGTTCCATTAGCCTGCACAAGGCCTGGTGTCCCCACAGCTCTGCCAGAATGGGCTGGGAGAGGGACTGGGCACAGTGCATGGAAGGTGGGGGAAAGAGGGTGCCTGCCCCCCACAGCCCGCCCCTCAGGCTCCCTGGGCCATCTGTCTGCTCCTGGAGGCGGCACAAGTCACTGACCTGCGGGCTGGGTGGGGGGCTTCAGGTTAGTGTTCTGGCTGAAGCGAGGCTCCCACACGGTCTCCGGGGCGTCGTAATTCCGGAAGAGGTGGAGCTCTGCCGGCTGCCGGTCAGACAGGGTCCCTGTCAACATCACCCTGGGTGGGAACCAGGGAGGAGTTGGTCACGGGGCCTCCGCTGGACCTCTTCCCGTGGCCAGCATTCACCCTGGGCCCTTGGGCCCCCACTCCTTTGGATGGGTGGGCTTCTGCCTCGCAACATCCTGCCCACCCTTTTCCAGACAGGTTCTTCCCCATGATGCTAGGGGTGGGTTTCAGGGGTACAACCTCGGGGGTCGCCCTTCCCATGGATTCATCCTGTTCAGTGTTCACCTGCCTTGGGTGGGGGGTGAGGAGGGGCACAGAAGGACTGCCTGCACAAGGCCAGCGAGAGACATGTGCACATGCAAGTGAGGGAGGCCCTGGAAAGGCCCTCCAGAGAGGGGCCACACTGAAGTCCCCTGCCTCGCTGTAGAAGGGCTAGGGAAAAGTCACGCTCAGGACAGGCCCATTGACCATCTGCCATAAAACAAACACACTGCCCTGGACTGTGCTGCATCTGGCATGTAGTGCGGGGAAGCCCTGTGCAGGGCATGCATGCTCGCCACAGGCAGCTCTGAAGACCCACAGGCAGAGCCTGAGCAGCGGCAGTGAGCTGACTTGGGGGAACTGGGTGGTGGCTGCTGCGGGGACAGGGTGGGAGAGAGACTTGCCACTAGGTCCCTGTGGTCCCTTTCCAACGTCTGACCACGGGAGTCTCTGATCTCTGAACAGTGACTCCTGCTCACCTTGAGAGAAACCAGGCCAAGCCAGACGCACTGCCATGCAGTCGCTTTTGACTCAGCGACCCCACCTGGGGTCTTCAAGACCGTACCTTTTAACACAGCAGGCAGCCACAGAGGGCTTTGTGGGCGTGAACTGCTGACCCTGTAGTGAGCAGCCCAGTGCCTAAACCCCCAGCGGCACCAGGGTTCCTTACAGAGAAACTGGCACCCTAACTTACTGCTCGGGGTGGAAACGGCACAGCCTCCCCTGGAGACAAGCATGCCCGAAGCCTTTTCGATGCAGGAATTTGATCTGGAGGGAGAGAGGTCCTAAAGGAGTGATCCTAACTATGACTCACAGGACAAGGTAGAACTGCCCCTGAGGGTTTCCTAGACACTGTAACTCTTTACAGGAGCAGACAGCCTCCTCTTTCTCCCACAGAGCGGCTGGTGGTTTCAAACTGCTGACCTTTCAGTTAGCAGTCCAATTCGTAACCACACTGCCACCAGGGCTCCCCCAAACTCACTGCATGAAGTCCATTCGGAAGCCTTCAGCATAGGGCTCCCCAGCAAGGTGCAATGCATTCCAGAGACCCATGGAGACAAGCAGCACAGGAGTGGAAGAAAACGAAGTCAGTCCACGCCCGGGGTGTGTGCTAAGGTTGCGTCTTCTAAACACCTTCATTCATCCTGTATGCTGAGCAAACAACCAAAGTGGGACTCCATGAAGCAGCAGCAGCGCCCGGATGGGAGAAGGCTCCTGAACAACCGGCAAGAGGCGTATGTATGATGTAAGCTCGTATGATGTAAGCTCGTATGATGTAGGCTCGTATGACGTAGGCTCGTATGATGTAGGCTCGTATGATGTAGGCTCGTATGACGTAGGCTCGTATGATGTAGGCTTGCTCGCTGAAAGTGAGGACTTGAAGCCCTGGCTGATAGAGATCAAGGACAGCAGGTGGTCGTCAGCAACGAAAGCAAACATCTTCACAGCCGGACCCACTGATGACGGCTCGGGACATGCTCAATGGAGGAAAGAGGAGAGGTTGGGTCCACAGCCAACACTCATGAAGCAAGAGGCGAGAAGCCAAGCGACACACTGCACTGGGCAAATCGGCTGTGTGAGCCGGCTTACAGTGTTTTCAGAGCAGGGGCGGTCCTCTGAGGCCGAGCCGTGGTCTTGGCAGTCGCCTCCTGTGCGTGTGCACGTGGGGCACGGAATGAGGATGCCTTTGAGTTGTGCTGGTGACAAATATTCAAAGTACCACGGACTGACAAGGGAACAGGCCAACCCCGTGGGGGGCGGGGGCGGGGAGAATGGCCACAGCGTTCCCTAGAAGCGAGGGAGGGCAGGAGTCTCTGGAGGGAGCAGCCTGGGAAAAGGGCACTGTGCTTGGTGAAGGAGGAAGAGGAGGGCCCTGGGCCGGGTGGAGTGACACAGTGGCTACAGCAATGCCTTCCAGCGTGATCCCCGTGAGGTGAGGAGCCCAGGCGACCTGCTCACAGCACGCCCTCTGGCCACAAGGCCCTTCCTCCCGAAAAACCCACTGTGCAAAGCTCCTCGCATTTCAGAGGGTGAGAAATGTAACTTAAAGCAAGACCTGACCGTGGAAATGAGGCAGTATTTGCAGCAGACTGACGTGGAGAAGGCCGGTGGAGCAGAACCGAGGCAAGGTACCTAGCTGCTTTTGGACAGAAGCAAGGCCAAATAGGAAGGAGCAAGCTAGTTATTTCAAGATGTGGAAAACAAAATGTCAAATAAGCCCAAAGCAAGGAGAAGGAATACACAGCAGGACAGAAGTTACTGAGACAGAAAACAGATACGGGATCAAACTCGCTGCCGTGGGGCTGATGCCGGCTCATAGCACCTATAGGACAGGGTAAAACGGCCCCTGTGGGTCTCCGAGCCGGTAGCTCTGTACAGGAGTGGAGAGCCCCATCTTTCTCATGCCGAGCTGTGGGTGGTTGAGGACGGCTGGCCTTGCGGTGGTAGCCCTATGCTTAACTACGAAACCACCAGGGGCTCGTAGAGCCCAACGGTGGCTTTTTGATCAAAAGGACCAAACCAGTTGCTGGGGAGGCAATTTCCACTTAGGGCTTACTACCATCAAAACCCCTGTGACCAGACAGATAAAGAGGAGGGAGAGGGGGACAGGAGGGAGGCTTTGGGGTTGAAGCAGCACAGCATGGAATGTGAGCATTTGAAAGCTAACAAGAGGCGATTCTGAACAACCATATCAATTGGAAGACTTAGAGGAAATGGAACCATCCCTAGAAAAAAAATAACCCAAACCAAACTAAAATCAAACCCCCTTCCCATCATTGAAAAGCTTCCCACAGAGCTGACTGACTGCCGGCCTGGACGGCTGCACTGGAAGTCCTCTAGCAGACAGCTGAGCAAGAGAGAGAGCCACCGCTGTACCAACTCCCCCGAGCACAAACAGGGCGGGCTCTCCCACCTGCCCTCAGTAAGGCTCAAAACCCAAACAAGAGCCGCTAACACTTGGGTAACTCTTACTCCGCATGCATGCTCTCTGTGGCTCACCACAAGGTCAGCAGTTCTAAGCCACCCGCCGCTCCTCGGGAGAAGATGCAGCTTCCGGCTCCTGTGATGAGTGGTAGCCTCAGAAAGCCACAGGCGCAGTTCCACGCTGTCCTACAGGGTCGCCGTGAGCCAGAAGTGAGCGATCATGATGGCAGTGAGGTGGTTTTTTTTAACATACCAGGTGTTTTTTTTGTTTTTTTTCAGTGCGTCATAGATAGTAACTCGTTCAATCCACAGAAAAACCCACGAAATCAGCCAGGATGTTATTGTTAGGTGCCATCGCGTCAGTTCCGGTTCAGAGGGACCCTAAGGGAACAGAACGTCGCCCAGTCCTGCACCATCCTCACGACTGTTCTCCTGCCTCCGTCCATCGCTGCCGCCTCTGTGTTCGCCCAGCTCCTCCAAGGTCTTCCTCTCTTCTGCTGGCCCACTCCTTCACCAAGCATGAGGTCCTTCTCCAGGGACTGGGCTCCCCTGACAACACGTCCACAGGATCCAGAAAAGGAAGCTTTGGAGCCCAGGTCCTGAACCATTTCTGCACACCTCCTCGAAGAATGGCGAGACAGGCTTTTGAAGAACAAGGGCGAGGGGCAGTGGCCTAGATACCCAGACTCGCTCTAGAGCTCGAGCATTGCCCGTGATGGCGTCCTGGTCCAGGAGGCATCAATCCAAGAGGCAGAACCGAGAACGTTCCATTTTTCAAGTAACTAATGTGCGCATGGTGTGTGATTTTTCTGTGGCTGCACCATCCGCTGGCGCGTCCCCCTCCTGTGCACGCTGCAATGCGGAAGCACAGTAGGACTCTTGGCCCCGGCTGGAAAGGAAGCCGGCAGACACGGAGGGAGTGAGACTTCTTCGTCAGTGCCGGTGGGAACACCGGTGATTCGTGTGGCCAAAATAAGCCTGTTGCTGGAAGGTGGGTGGTTCAACACCTCCAGCCGCTCTGCGGGAGACAGACAAGGTGGTCGGCTTCTGCAAAGATGACCGCCTTGGGGCGGTGGCTGTGAGTCCGCATCCACTGGGCGGCTGCGGGATTGGTTCTGTTTGCTTGGGGTGATGGTGGTTAAGTGGGTGTTTTCTTGATGATTAGCCAGTAAACTATTTTAAGCATTTTTGTAGGGATTAGGCAAAATAGGTCCTATTTGCCACATGGGGCAGGGGAGGGGAGGAGATGATGGAGTGGGATGGGGAGTCTAGAATAAAATATTCACAAGTGCTTTTAAACATCGTCTCTGGTGAATAAGTTGCAGGTGAGATCTTCTTATTATTGTGTGTCTTTCCCACGTGTTCTTAAAAGCCTGTGTGTTGTCCGTACAGCCCACATAGCATTCGGACAGGGCAAGATAAGACAAAATAATAATTTATAAATTATCAAGGGCTCTTGAGGGATGGAGGAGCGGGGAGGGAGGGGAAATATGAGGACCTAATGCCGGGGGCTTAAGTGGAGAGGAAATGTTTTGAGAATGATGAGGGCAATGAATGTACAAATGCACTTTACACAATTGATGGATGTATGGATTGTGATAAGAGTTGTATGAGCCCCTAATAAAATGATTTTTAAAAAAAGAAAGAAGAAAAGAAGGGTTCTGGGGCTCCAGCGAGAGGAAGACAGGGCTTTCTACTCCAGTAAACAGCTCCAGCCTCCCATGGGTGGGGGGGTATCCCCGGGGGTCAGCGTGGACTCTGTGGCAGTGGGGTTTAGCCCTCAAGGCCCAACTCACACTCCACTTCCTACAGGAAGCCCCCCCTGACTGCTTGGTCCTAAACCTGCCCTGAGAACGCCTCCTCGCTGCCTATCCCCGGTGGCCGGGGCTGGGTGCTGCGGCGACAGAAAGGAGCCTGGTGGCTGCAGTGAAGGGCTCAGAACACAGGGCACAGACCCTGTGGCACACCTGCTGCAGACGACCCCTTCCTTCCCCGTGGGAGAGCAGAGGTGTCGAGAATCAGGCGGGGAGCCAGGCGGACCAGGGGCCAGCCCTTCGGTGCCCCGTGCCCTTGCCCTCTGCCTCACGTCCTTCCAGCACCCAAGCCCATTCCCCCTGTCCCCTGCCTGCTCCCCTCCCGCTGGGTCACCCTCAGGCCACGAAGACGGCTTACTTGGGCTTCTTGATGTCCGTCATCTTGGTGTGCTCTCCAAACTCCCGCTTGAGAAACTCCTCCAGGGGTCCTGACTCATAGGGCCGCGAGCCCCGGAACACCTCGTCCTTCATGCGGAAGTACACGCCGCGCATGTAGGCCATGGACTTGCCTAGGACATGGGGTTGGCATGGGAGCAGCGCCTGTCAGCGGCCTCGGCTTCGGCTTCGAGTCCTCCCAGACTGCAGGGACGACCTCCCTACCCACCCACCCCCGAAACCTCCAGTCCCGGGCTGAGCCAGACACCATCAAACAGTGCAGCCAGCAGCCTCTCTAAAATGGCCACTCGTGGCCCACTGGGCAGGGCCCTTTGTTTCCCAGGCCTTGGGGAAGGGCCCCTGGAGGATGGCTGGACAGACCCCAGGCCGAGTGAGAGCTGGAGAGGAAGGGCCAGTCCCGTTCTCTGGGAGCACAGACAGGTGGCGTCAGGAGGGGCAGACACCCTCGCAGGGGGGAGAGGCTCCTGAAGCCGCTAGCAGAGCTGGAGCCCCAAGGGGCCAGAAAGGGGTCCCTGCCCTCGGGAGAAGTCAGCCTCAGTGACTCAGGCATCCTCCCAGGCTCCCCAGGGTCTGAAGACAACTCCAGAATGGGGAGGACTGTCCCCAGGAAGGAGGTGGAACTCTAGCCGGGTGCCCCTATTAATCCCACCTCCTCGGGCCCCTCCTGGCTGGTTCTCCTCCCAGAAGGAAGGAACATAGAGGTTAACTGGCAGCACGGTGGGCAGGAAGCAAGTGCCACAGGGAGAATGCTGGGAGTACAGAGGGAGACCCGGCCTCAATCCTCACTCTGCCTAGCCCACTGGCCTCTCTGGCCCTCAGTGTCCCCACCTGTCAGGGCCATGTTGACAATCACCTACACACCCTGCCCAGGAACCACCCAGAGATGTGCGGCGGGCATCTCTGGTGGGACCTGCCTATCAGGGTGCCAACTCCGATGATGATTCTCACCTTGGGGGGACACCCAGTGGTTCTGGGGTCCACCCCATGGCCAGGGTCACTCAGTTCAAACTCCATAAACACTGTCCCAGCAGGCTGGTGTCCTGTCTGTCCCTACAACTCAGTGTCCAGCCAGCGTTCAGAACGCTATGGTAGCAGCTGCTTGGGCCTTCTTCTAGGTAGTGGGTTGGCCTGAGCAGGCCCAGAAAAACCGCATGATAGTCGGCCAGCCCTTGGAGGATCATGATGGCCTCAAACCAACCCAAATTCACTGGGACCAGTTGATTCTGACTCACAGCGGCTCTCCCTGTAGGACAGGGTAGAATTGCCCCCCAGGGCTTTCTGAGACCGTCCACTTCTATGGGAATAGACAGCCTCGTCTTTCTGCTGAGGGGCAGCTGGTGGCTTCCAACTGCCGACTTTGTGGTTAGCAGCACAACACGTGACCCAATACACCATCGGGACTCAAACTCTCATGTCCCCAGACTGTCGGGGAAATGAAGCAGGTGATCGAGGCTCCCACCCCGAGGCACCACCCCTTCTGGCACTGGGATGGCCCCCTTGTTTCCAGCAGGTGTCACAGGCCCTGCGGGGGTAGGGGTGCAGGGGGCTGCTCTGGTCTGGTGTGGGGAAGAGTGGCGGAACAATGCATTGCCGCTCTGTTTACGTCAGTGGGCTCATTTGGAAGAGGGAGGGAGTGGTCATGGGTGCAGGGAGACTTTGGAGGCACTACTGGGCAGTGGCTGAAAGGGGGTTGGTTCAAACCCAGCTGGGGCACCTCAGAAGAAATGCCTGGCCATCCATGCTGACAAGTCACAGGCTCGGTATTATACTGAATGGGGTGGGCTGCCACGAGTTGAATCATCCTCCCCCCTGCCCAGCCATGGCTGTACCACACGGGGGAGCACGAGATGGGGCCGCTGCGTCCGCCGCAGAAGCGGTTGAATTGGCACACGTTTGACTGCGGATAGGCTTAAAAAACAAAAAAGCCTCCCACGCTGGAAGTAAGAACAGCTCGCTCTGGCCTCTGGGGCCGGGGGACTCTAATTGCAGCCCCGGGCCACCCCCCCTCTTCCCCCCACCAGACTTTCTCCTTCCAGCCTGTCTGATGGCCCTCCCCACCCCACCCCAGCAAAGCTCTGGCTAAGATTGGCACCCCCTGAGGGCAAGTCTCGCCCCACCCCAGCGATCCCTCCCTGGTCGGGGGCGGGATGCCCTCACTGTGCAGGATGGCCAGGGCCAGGATGCCCCCTGTGCTGGTCCCGGCCACCCAGTCAAAGAGGTCCTTGGTGGCGATGCCCGAGGCCTTCTCAATGGCGATGAGGAGCTGGATGATGATCAGGCCTTTCACGCCCCCTCCGTCCAGGCAGAGCAGGTGGTCGTGGCTGCAGGGGGGCGAGGGGAGGAGAGTGGCTTCTTACAGCAGCCGTCAAGTCACCCGGTCCCCGCTCTCAGCTAGTGGCCCCGGGGTGGACATGCCGAGCAGAGCAACAGCAGACTAGGCCCTGCCCCAGGGGAGCTCACAAGTGTGAGCCTGTGATTACAGCGTGACTCCTGGCCCCCAATAGGTGTCGGGATCCCAAAACAAGGGAGCAGGCTTTCTGTCACCCCAGTGAGGTTTCCATCAGCCTAGGTGTGTCTCCGGCTGAGATCTGAAAGGGGCGCGCAGGGCACAGAGGTGAGACAATAGGGGCCATGGAGCTGAGGAAGAGAGGGTGAAAGGGACAAAGACTTTCCCTTCTGAGGGCGTGGGGTGTGTGAGAGAGAGCGCGCCTCAAACTTGTTGCCTCCAATCGCTCACGTCGAGTCGATTCTGACTCATAGGACCAGGAAGCACCTTCCCTGTGGGTTTCTGAGACTGCCACTGTTCATGGGAGTAGAAAATCCCATCTTTCTCCCTTGGAGCGGCTGGTGGTTTTGAACTGCTGGCCTTACAGTTAGCAGTCCAACACGTAACCACTACGCTAGCAGGGCTCCTCTTCCTGCCTCGCAGCCTCTGAGGAAATAAGCTTCTCTCCAGAGCATCATGCACTCGGGGATTTCTATCGTAGCAGCACTGGGTGGCCAAGGCTGGGGCCAGGGGCGGAGGCAGTGGACAATGGCCGTGCTCCAGGAGGTGAGCAATGTCCAGGAGGAAAACGCAGCCAGGCAAGGGGGACAAGGATGTCCGGGTGGCCTGGTCAACAAGGGCCTCCTGGGTGGGTGGCGGCGTGGGGGCCCTGAGGGCAGCAGCTGGGTTCTGGTTAGGAATTCATTCCCGGCACCAGGCCTAGCCACGACCGAGCACGTGCCCCAGAAAAGGTCTGTGAGAATTAAACAGGCCTGAGAATGACCCCCAAGTACATCTTGAAACCTTGGCGCTGTCCACATGATCCTATTTGGAAACAGGGATTTTTTTGGTCCCTTGTTACATTAATGGGGTCCCACCCATGTAGAACACAAAACCCCTTCCTCGGCTCTTGGGTTGATTTGGACACTTGGACCCCTGCTCTGTAGGGGTTTCCAAGGCTATGCCTCTCAATGGAGTCACATCTTTCTCACACCAGCCGGCTGGAAGGTTTGAACCAACAACCTCCAGGTTAGCAGTTGTTCAGGAGCTTAGCTGCCACTCCCTCAAGATTTCTGTAACCTCGGAGGGTGGGCTGGACATCTAATCACCTCTGACTGACAGCAAGAACACAGGGACACACAGACAGAGGGCAAGGCAGAGGACAGTGATGGATCGCCCACACCAACATGCCCGGGCCTGCGAACGAGGAAGCGAGGTTGGGGCTGATTGGGACTCTAGCTCTCTCCAGACTGGTGAGAAAAGTCAGCTCTGTTCTTGAAGGCCACCCCCTTGTGGTATTGGTGAGGCGGGACACTAAGACAGGAAGGACAGGGATGGGGTGGTCGTGGAGGTGAGTCAGTGCCCTCACTCTGGGAAGGAAGATGGAGAAGGACTGTCTATGAACCCAGGGCTTTCTCTAGTCTCAGCCCCCACTGAGGGGGACACTCCCTGGTGGCCCTGAAGACCCTCAAACGTGCTTTTGAGGCACCAGGGTTGAGTGGTGGCACAGAGTTGATCAGGGGGCACACGGGGCAGGCTGGCTTGGCCCCGGTCTGCTGGCTGAAGTCAGGCCCTCCCTCGGCACCGTCTCCCCAGGTCCTCCAGGCCTTGGCTGTCCAGCTTCTGAGGTTGCTAGAACCCTAGGCACCTGCCCAAACCAGCTGTGCCTCTGGGCATACTGCCATGGCCTGGCCGAGACCCGGAGGCGGGAGGACCCAGCCCTGATGGCCGGGCACCTCTCACTGGAAGTATTGGTTGCTCTTGTCTATGTGTTTGCTCCTCTCCTCCTAGTGGGCAGCCTGGCTACCTTTGTCCAGTGGATGGTGGGCAGTGAGGTGGTGCGGCCCAACCTCTAGGCCTCAGAGACTTTTTCTGGACAGGGAGCCGACCCTACAGCCAGCCCAGCAGGAGGCCTGAGAGGCTACAGTGTACAGGCCAGCCTTCCTGAGGCCCAGGGGGTAGGGCGGAGCCACGGAGAGTCTCCCCAGGGCTCCCCAGGCACCAGCACTTCTCTCCCCACCTCTGTGTGGGGGCTCTCAGGCTCCCTCCCCCGCCACCCCCATGCCCACAAACCCTCAACCTGCCTGGTGACTGGTGATGGGCAGACCAGGCACCCCGTTACTCTGTCCCTGCTGGGCACTAGAGACAGTGTGGGTGACCTGGCAGGCCATGGTGGGGGCTGGAGGAGGCCCAAGCTGGGATTGGGGGTGGAGGGAATGGACCCCTGCCTCTTGCCCCACTGACCTGCGCTTCTCATCCCGCAGGGAGCTCAGGATGAAGGCTGGCTTCCGGGTCCGTGAGATGTGCTTGATGTCCTGCAGTTCTGTGGGCACAAGGGAGGCGTGCTGGGCGGGGCTGTTCAGACTGGCAGCCCATGGGGGAGGGCTTCTTGGGGCAGAGGTCTGCAGTGCCAAGGGGAGACCCCCCAACTCTGCCCAACTGGCTCCCAGGGTTCCCCTCAGCATCTTCCTCCTGAGGCTCTGAAACCACAGGACTTGTCCCGGGCCTTGTGGCCACAGGGCAGGGATGGGGCGGGCCTTGGGGTTTCAGGTCAGGAATGAAGGGACAGAGAGGGGGCCCCTAACCACACTTCAGATGCCCCTTCTCCCCATCCCAGGTCTAGAAACTCCCTCAGTATTGATGCAGGCTGGATCTACCCCTCATCCACTCCACCCCAGGCCCACCCCAAGTGGCACCCGTTCCTGGCATTAACCACCCCTGTCACAGCACTGGGGCTAGAAGCAGCAAAGCAGAAGCAAGCCAGTGTGCCAGCAAGCAGTGTGTGTCCCCGCCCCACAGCCTGGGGCAGTGCCCAGAGCAGCAGGCAGCTGCCTGGTCAGGTGGCAGCAGCAGCAGCGAGAGGTGCAACTGAGAAAACGGACAGCGAGGACATGGGCAGCAGCTAGCCCACCCTACAGCCTCTCTGTGCCAAGGCAGTACCCACCAGGTGCCGCGGCCCAGGCCCACCATCCAGCCTGGCGTGGGTGACTGCCTGTCTGCCTGAAAGATGGAGACAGAGGTGGGAGGTGGTGGGCGGAGGCCTTTCCTGGAGTGCTGGGCAGGGGTGGCGGGGGCCGTAGACGTGGACCAGACTCCGCAGAGCTGGACTATCTATCCCTGATTGGGGTGCTGGCGTGTGCTCCCTGAGGGGTAGTCAATGCAGTCTGGTTTGTCAGGGATGAAGGGTCACTGAACCAGGCCCCCTGGGGCCGCTGCACCACCAGGCGGGGGTGGGCGGTTGTCCTGGTTCCCAGATTGGGCGGGGGAGGGGGCTGTCTCCCAGGGACACCAAGGAGGCAGAGGGCAGATGATTCTGAAGGCTGCAGGTCACCCAGTGGCCACTAGGGGGCACTCGGGCCAACAGAGACCAAACAGTGGGTCAGATACAGAGCCCCTTCAGAGGGCTGGCCTCCATAGTGGCCCCATGGGGTGAGGAGTTCCTTGAGCAGTCAGGACCCCCTCTGGGCCCCAGAGAGCAGCGCTCTCATGACCCATGCTGAGCCCCCTGGGGTCAGAGGCTGATGGAAGAGCACCCACTTAGGGGGTGCCACAGACAATGCCCAGCCCAAAGTGCCAAGTCCAGGCAGTCGTGGCCCCGAAGCCCTCTGGGGTCTCTGGTGCCTCCCCAACTCTGCTGAGCTCCCCCACCCAAAGCTTCTGTGGCTGAGTCAGTTCTGACTCATCGTGACCCCACAGGATGATGACAACTGCTCCCGTGGGTTTCCAAGGCTGGGCGCCTACATGGGACAGGCGGCCTCATCTTTCTCCCTCGAAGCAGCTGGTGGGTTTGAACCACCAACCTTGTGGCTAGCAGGCCGATGCCTAGGCCGCGGTGCCATGAGGGCTCTTTGGATACCCTGCAGAGGCAAACCAATCTTGCCCCATCCTCCCTTGCTCCCGAGGCCCCATTTCTTTTCGACGGCGCCCAGGGGTAGGGGGTGGGTGGGGGGTGGGTAGCGGTGGGAGACAGGAGGCAGGTGGCCTACCTAGGTTGCTTAGGTTGATGGGTGGGGGCTGAGCTCTTTCCTGGGACAAGACAGGGTGCTGCGAGGCGGTGGGGCCCTGCTCCATGGAGACCCCTGGGATGAGGGGGAAGCGGTACTCGGCCCCTACAGTTCTCAGCAGGGTGAGGAGCGCCTTTCTGGTGGCAACTTGTGGTGGTTGGCAGGGAGAGATAGCACAGCGTCACAGGGACAGTCTGGACTTGGCACTCAGGGCTGGGTATTGTCTGTAGCAGCCCCCAGGGGAGGGGCCCAGGAAGCCCAAACCCACCCTGGGGGGCCAGACTGGTACTGATGTACCACTTTCTGTGCTGGTGACAGACACACGTGCACATGCACGCACGCACACACCTCTCTCTCTCTCCCTCGCTCTCTGGGGCCAGCCTCCCAGGAGCCTCTGCAGTGGCCTACAGACTTCCAGTTTCGTGGTGTGGGGGCTCTGCTTTTCCCAGCTCTGTGTGAGCGACCAGTGCAGGCACATGACGTGTGTACCCGCTGCCATGCATGCAGCCTGTGCATAAAGAGCATGCACCAGCCCTGCCATTCGGGCTGTGTGTGCAGAGCATTCCACCCCCCCACCCCCCCCACCCCCGCCCCACCCCGGGCTCTATTTGCAAGTGGTCACACCAGGGAGTGCCCTGAGTGGGTCAGAGGGCCCATCCTCACCCCCGCCTGCAGCGCTGGGCTCCAGGCACTGAGGTGGGCAGAGGGGCTGCAAAGAGGAGGACACTGGCTTGGCAAGTCTCTGGGTGGCCCCGCCCCACCCCGGCCAGTGAGAACCTGTTCCTGGGAGAAGAAGGCTCCCCCTCTGCCGCACCCAGGACCCCCGACATTCGAGCAGACAGTTGCCCATGGGGAGAGGGTCACCTTGGGAATCACTCCTCTTTGGCTGGCCCCTCCCCTTCCCCCTGCCCCGCACTGCCCCTCCTCCCCAGGCTCAGCATGCAGAGGGCATACCTTTGCTGATCTTGGAAGCTACTAAGGCAGGAGTCTCCCCAAAGTCATTCGGGGTGTCCACTTCCGCCCCAAAGACAATCAGGGCCTTGATCATTTCCACGTTGTCCTTCTGTTGGGACACGAGCAGTGGAAGGTGAGACACCTCAGAGAAGCGAAAAGGGACCCCTGGCCTTCTCCGCCCTGCTGTCCACTAGGTGGGCCTCTGGCCAGCAAGGGGGTCCTGGAGCTCCCTCATCCGCAGCCAGTGGAGCTGGCAGTGCAGCAGGCCAGCTGAAGCTCAGACACCCCCACCCCAGCTTCGCTGGAGCCTGCCTGGAGTGAGCCACACCCTCTCACCCCTGACCCCAGAGACCCCGGGGGCCACCAACAGGCCAGCTGAAGGCTTTCAGGAGCAGCAGGGAGAGAGGAAGTGAGAGTGGGGAAGAATGTTCTGTCCTTCTGGTCCTCAAGGCCACTTCTCGTGGGGTTGGTGGCCTTTTCTCCCCCGAGCGGGTGGGTTGGAGCAGGGGGAGGTTCAGACACACCAATGGGCTGCCACTCTGCCACCAAGAGGACCAGAGCCCTGGGCTTGTCACCTCCCTCCCCTGGCCTGGAGAACACAGGGATATGTGCAGAAGGGGCTATGAAGCGGCTGCTGGTGCATCACTAGGACTTCAGGACACATGTGACTGTGCATGCTGTCATCATCGTGGCTGGCTGGTGTTGGCTCGTGGCGACCCGTGTGCAGAGTGGAGCGACCTCGGTCGGGGTTCCTGGGCTTGGGACCTTTCAGACGCTGCCTTCCAAAGTGGGCTTGAACTACCAACCTTTAGGTGAGTCGTCCAATGCGCTGACATCAATCATTTGCTTCCCTGTTGCTGTGAGCGCTAATACCTTGGTTATCTCCAACGTGTGTGGCACTGGCTCCCCACTTCACGTGGGGATACGGAAAACCCTTCCTTCCAGTTGAAATGCGTTCAGAAGGAAGCCAAAGCACGGAGACGATGGAGCACGTAATTGTCAAAGTGCTCCATGACTGACAAAACGGGCCCCTGGGAGACGTAGGTGCTCCCAGGGGGTCTGTAAGGCCAACACTAAGCACAGGCACCCGATGGCTCCTGCCGTGTGCACTGGGTGGGCGTCTGCACGAAGGGCACTGAGTGGTGGGGAATACAGTTGGCACCTTACCATCAAACAAGACTGGGGCACCAGAGCTATTAAGTCTTGTGGGCTTGCAGGCGTCCGGGCATTTGGAGACTCTGCTAATGAGGTGCTGTAGCTGGGTGCCACTGAGTGGGCTCTGACCCGTGCACAACAGAAGGAGACCCTGCCCGGTCCTGAGCCAGCCTCACAGTTGTTCCGATGCCGGAGCCCGCGGAACAGAACGCAGCCTACGCCTGTGTCAACCGTCTCGTCGTGGGTCTTCCTCTAGTTATTTGCTCCTCCACTGTCCCGAGCATGACGTCCTTCTCCAGGCACCGGTCTCTCCTGACAATCTGTACAAAGTCTGTAAGATGAAATCCAGCCATCCCTGCCTCTGAGGAGCACTCTGGTCTTACTTCTTCCAAGACAGATCTGTCTGTCCTTTTAACAGTCCATGGTACTTTCAATATTCTTCAACAGCACCACAAGTCAAACGCATCCATTCTTCTACTGTCTTCCTTATTCAGTGTCCAACTTTCACACGCATATGATGCAATGGAGAAGGCTCTGGCTTGGTTAGGGGCACCTTAGACCTGAAAACAATCTCCTGCTTTTCAAGACTCTTGTGCGGCACATTTACCTAATGCAATATGTCTTTTAATCTCCCGGCTGCCGCTTCTGTGAGCAGTGATTGTGGATCCAAGCAAGACAAAATCCTTGACATCAACCTTTTCTCCATTTCTCACGCTGCCTGTTTCGAATGAAACTTAATGATTTCTAGTGAGACCAATGGCAATATTGACCAATGTGAGGCTTTGTCAGACTGTTGAATACAATGTAGAGTCCCCGGGCGGCCCAAATGGGCAAGTGCTTGGCTACTAACAGAAGGACTAGGAGTTGAAACTTCCGCGGTACCTTGGAAGAAAGGCCTGGTGGTCTGCGTCTGAAATGGCCGCTATGGAAGCCCCCAGAGCACAGTTGTGCTTGGGCATACATGGTGTCGGCTCTGTGTCTGAGTCCAACTCTGTAACAACCAGCTTGGTCGGGGCGCACCATGAAACGGGGTGCTCGAGACTTGGCGGTTGTGCAAAATCGGAGAAGCTGTGTTTCCAGTCGAAGAAGCTGTGTTTCCAAGGCCGAGGAGGTCGGGTGGTGTAATGGTTACACACGTTGGTTGGGCCGCGATCCGGAGGTTTGAACCACCAGCAGCTCCGTGAGAGAAAGACTACGCCTTCTACTCCAGTCAGCAGTTACCGTCTTGGAAGTCCACAGGGATCGCTATGAGTCATGTGGTTTGGTTTGGTTCTGGGGTGCGGCATCAAGCCTGGGTAAAGAATCTAGGCACACAGCGGCCACGAAACAACGGGTTCAATGTCACAGGGCACCAGAAGCAACCTGAGCTGGCTCCTCACTGTGTACTGCAACCCCCTTCCCAGAAACGGCCCCTCACCATGGTTTGGTATGGCATCACTGAATATCCAGAATGATGGTGGGGCTGCTGCAAACACTCCTGCCTCCCTGACTGCAGATCTGGGTGGGGCCAGATTTGCGTGACGTTGCTACAGGGGGCACAGTTATACAAACTTCTTGGACAGAAAGCAAGGCCAACAGGCTTAACACAGTTCACAAAGTCTGGGTCTCACTTTGGTGAGCAGCACCCAGGGTCTGGCCAGCTTGAGAACGGCCAGCTAAGGTGCCAACTATTGTCTCTCTCTTTGGAAGATAGAAGACTGGCCTCACAGCCGTTGTCCCACGGATGCTGACTCACAGGGCGCCCCTGGGACGGAGCAGAGCTGCCCCTGAGAGTTTCTGAGGCTGTCGCTCTTGATGGGAGTAGAAAGCCCTGTCTTTCTCCAGAAGAGAGTGGCAGAGTGAGGACAATCAAAGACACTGGAGAGGATCAGTCCCGTGGATGGAGGGACCACGTGAACCTCAGCCTCTGCCACCCTGAGACCAGAAGAACTAGATGGTGCCGGGTCCCATCACCACGGGCTCTGAAAGAGACTGCCTCCGCAGGTCCTGCATAGAGCGGGGGAAGACATGGGACAGATGGAAAATCCTAAAGAGGGCCAGGCTCGCTGGTCAGATAGAGACTGATGGGACCAAGACCTGGTCTGGAACTGAACCCGCCCCAGCGGCTCATTCTCAGCCCAACAAGAGACAGGTCTGTGAGAGGAACGATAACTCTAACGATGTGTGTGCAACTTAGAATAATGGACCACTCGGCAGCATTTACTGAGGACAATCTTCAGAGGGGCTAGGGAAGTAGGAGGGATGGCAGCGGGAAACAGAGAGAGAAGATGGGAGGGCTGATCGGGCATTCAGAAAACTGCACTGATTGAGGAAGCAGAAAGCATGTGGCTCGTTGGACAGAAAACTGAGGCTCTGCTCTGTACACCTTCACCCAATTCATGATGAAGAGTTAAAACACAAAAAACACCAACATATTGCAAGAGACCAACCGTAGGTGACATGAGATTCTAGTAAAACGATTGTCAAGAAATGTAAACACCACTCTTTTTAATAATTTTTTAAAGAGGGGACCCTTGAAGAATAAAGTGTTCTTCGAATGTGATTTATATTAGCATGTCCCGAGTTTATTATTTTAAAATGAATCAATATATATCTTCTTAACTTTCTCGCTTCCTATTTCTAACATGGGAAATACAGATGGTGGTCACCTCATATGCATAAAAGTTCCCAGGTCTCCCTGGGTCATTTCAGAAAGCAGAAAGGGCCGAACGGAGCGAAAGCATTGAGGGCTGAGCCACAGCTAATTCTAAGGGCACATTCAGTGCTACAAATGACCCGGGGAGCTATTTACAGGGCTAGCCTCTTGGGCAGTTAGGTCTCTTCTGTGACCTCTTATGTAAAACAGGATGTCTTTGAACTTGAACTTGTCTTAAATCTACTTCTTTTAGAGCCTCCAAGGTCTAGCTTTGTTCCATGGCTCTGAGACTTGTTCAATGGGCCTGGGTGTATACCACGCCCTTGTTCTAGCACACACGCAGTAATGGTGTACACAGTTAATGTGTTTAGCTGCTAACTGAAAGGCTGCAGGTGCCCTAGAGGGAAGGTCTGGTGATCTACTTCTTTAAAAACTCAGCCATTGAAAACTTTCTGGAGGGTAGTGTCAACTAGCTGATAACTGGGAGTCCTGGTGGTGTTGCGGTTATGCATTGGGCTGTCAACCCCAAGGTCAATGGTTCAAAACCACCAGCTATTCCAAGAGAAAACCCTGAGGCCTTCTTACATAAAGAGTGAGAGCCTGGGAAACCCACAGGGGCAGTTCTACCCTTTCCTTTAGGGTGCTGTGAGTTGGCATGGGTTTGCTGGCTGGCTATGAATTTGCTTTTGGCTTATGTGTAACATGACAGCCCTGGTGGTGTCATGGGTTACACGATGGGTGGCTGACCACAAGGTCGGTGGTTCAAACCCACCAGCTGCCCTGCAGGAGGAAGTTGAGGCTTTCTGCTTCTATAAAGATCTACAGCCTAGGACACCCAGCTCTCGCCTGTCCTATGAGTCAGAATGGGCCTGAAGGCAGTAAGTTTCGTTTGGTTTGTGTCATGATGCATACCAAGGAGCCCTGGGTCCGGGGGGTGCTGTCAGGTGGGCGTGACTGAGAAACACAAGGTGGGTGGTTCAACACCACCAGCCACTTGTCAGGAGAAAGAGGAGGCTCTTTGCTCCCAAAGAGAGTCACAGCCTCAGAAGGCCTGCACAGGGCTGCTGGGAGTTGCTGGGTGTGCAGTGCGTACTTGCTGGAGCTCCCCAGCCACGCTGCAGAGACTTTAAAGGCAGGAGTTACGCGGCAAGACAAACTGCAGCCCCGTCCCCCGTGGCCAGAGGCCTGCTTTCGGAGTGCTCACAGGGGGCCAGGCTGAGACACAGGGCCCGCAGGTGGCTGTTTCCCTGGTCCTGATGGCAGCCCCGTAGGACGCTCCTCCAGGCGGTGTCATGTGCGCCACGTGGACGTCACCAGAGAGCTGTCAAGCAGCTCCCGCTGAACCTCCCCACACCTCGGGTTCTACATGTCCACCCGGGCAGCTCCCCGTTCCCAGGTGAGCAAACCAAGGCTGGCGGGGGCAGGTGGTGCGGCTTCTCACCAGGCAGTGGGAGCTGTACAGGGGGGTGGGGGGACTCACCGACATGGCCAGGTGCAGCGGGGTGTTGCCATGCTCCCCGCGGGCGTCAGCGTGGGCCCCGTAGGTCAGCAGCACCATGACGCACTCGAAGCGGTTGCGCATCACGGCCACATGCAGGGCGGTGTTCCCCGCCGAGCTGGTGCTGTTCACGTCGCAGCCACGTTTCAGCAGCATGCGGGCCATCTGCTCGGGACAGGGCCCGGCCTCTCAGTGGGGCCGCGCAGGCCCTGCTGCTCCCCTGATGCCCTGGGTGTGGGGCCCCAGACCTCGGCCCCCACCTCCTCACCACCCCAAGAACCAGGGACAGAGCAGGAAACGGCCAGCGGCTTTTAGGGGTTCCCAGGCCCTCCCTGCAACGTGCTTCGGAGGCTGGTTCTAGAATATCCCCTGCCCACACCAGCCTGCCTCGGGAGAGAGGCCCTCGGGGGCCAGGCAGGACGGGGCCCAGCCACCCCACCTTGCCTCAGCTATATAAGCCAGAGAGCCCTCCCACCATGCCCCTCAGCCTGCCCTTCTGGGGGAGGTAACAATAAGTGAAGCCTGAACTTAGGAGTCTGGCTTGGTGCCTAGCTCCTGGCCCTCAGCAAGCCCCCTGCATCTTGGCCATAGCCTTCATGGGCAGGCCAGCACTCCATCCGGCGCCCCACTGAGCTGCACTGCCAAGTGGGCAGAGGGGCCAGAGCTGCGATCTGCTGAGGGGTTGGGGTGGCTTCAGGGCAGGTTCTAGGAGAGATGGCAGCCAGGCTCTGTGGACATGGCTGGACCCTTCTGCTGCTCCTCCCAGCTTCTCCATGCACCATGTGCTGACTTCACAATCAATCCTCTCCTCCAGGAAGCCTTCCCAGGGACGCTCCTGGCATGCCCCTGACCCCCCAGTTCACACCCTTGGGCACCAAGGCTCAGTGGGGAATCACCACCCCCTCAGTGAGCACAGAGAACACTCCAATGGTCCCAGACTCCTCTGCCTTGGGGCCCCCCACAGATCAGCTCCCCCACTCCTGCCACAAGTGCGAACCCCCTCCCACCAGCATCCTCTCTCCGGCCAGCAACAGAAGCACAGGGCTCTGGGGTGTTGCGCCCCCAAGCCCCCACCTGCTCTCAGACTCCCCCACCTCTGCGTTCTTGGCCCAGTGCAGGGGGCTGGCGCCATAGCGGGGGTCCTTGCTGTGGATCTGGTTGCAGTCCATACTGATGATCATCTCTGCACACCTGAGGAGAGAGGGGCCGTGACTGTGAGGAGGAATGGGGGGGTGGGGTCTGCCATGGAGGGCACTCCTGAGGCTCCCGCAGGGGGTCAGGGAAGTTTCCACCCATGGAGAAAGCTGTAGAACATGCCCACGATGTGTGTCAGGGGGGTACCGGGCCTCTCACAGCATGCTGGAGCCACCTCCTCCTCCAGGAAGCCTTCCCAGAGGACTCCTGCCAACCACACGCATGCTCACTGGCATTGGCGTTACCGTCAACCGGGCTGAAGTCTGGTCCCAGCTCCTCACGGGGCACCAGAGCCAAGGAATGGGGCCTTTGCAGTTTGGGGTCTGCTATGGGTTGGATTGCGTCTCCCCCAAACACGTGTTGTGAAATTGAAACCCTATAGTGCAACATGCTGGGCAGCAGGCCCTCAGGGAAGCTGGGTTCTCTAGAGAAGACTGTGGCATCAGACCGGAGGCAGGCTTATGAACCACCTGCTGGACGCACGACACAACCTTGCTTGCTGACAGTGAGGAGGACTCGAAGCACTTGCTGATGAGGATCAAGGATTGCAGCTTTCAGTCTGGATTACAACTCAATGTCAAGAAGACCCAGATCCTCACAAGGGGACCATTGTGATGAATGGAGAAAAGGTTCAAATGTCCAGGATTGTGTCTTCCATGGCTCCACCATCAGTGCTCATGGAAGCAGCAGCCAAGAGATCAAAGGACGGATTGCATTGGGTAAATCTGCTGCACAAGACCGCGTTAGAGTATCGAAGAGCAGGGATGTTATTTTGAGGCCTGAGGTGTGCCGGACCCAAGCCATGACATTCCTCTTTGCATCAAGTGCACGTGAACATTGGACACCGAATAAGGAAGACCACAGAAGAATGGATGCATTTGGATGGTGGTGCTGGACATGAATATGGAAAGTACCATGGACTGCTCAAAGGACAGACAGATCTGTCTTGGAAGAAGTACGGACAGAGCGCTCATTAGAGGCAAGGAGGGCAAGAGGGCCTTACAGACTTTTGACGTGTCAGGAGAGACCAGTCCCTGGAGAAGGATGCTATGTTTGGTAAAGCGGAGGGGCAGCGGAAAAGAGGAAGGCCCCAACGAGGTATCCGTGGGCTCAGGCACAGGCCAGCTGTGAGGACGGCGCAGAGCCGGGCTTTCGTTCTGTTGTGCACGGGGTCGCTGTGGGTCAGAGCTGACTCGAGGGCACCCACCAGCAGCACAAGACCTGCTTCAAGGTCTTGAAGAGCCAGGGTGTCACCTTGAGGACTAAGGTGAGCCTGGCCCGAGCCCATGGTACTTCCCATCGCCTCATGAGCATGTGCACACTGGGCGGTGAACCCAGAAGCCCGGGGACCAAGGGAGAATCGAGGCACCTGAATGGTGGGTGCGGGAGGAGAACAAGCAGCATACGGCCAGAACGCCCCTTGGACGGGAGGGTGGGAGACGTCGCCTCATGTTTTTTGGGCATGCTGCCATGCTTGGTGAAGTAGAGGGGCAGCGACCACAAGGAAGATCTTCCATGAGATGGACGGACACCGTGGCTGCAGCGTGGGCGGAAGCACAATTGTGAGGACGGCGCAGGACGGGGGTATGACCTGAGGTCGCTCTGAGTCAGAACGGACTCGACGGCACCCAGCAAGAGCGTGCCTGTGGTCAGTCCCATTGGGAATGGGCTTTCTTCGCTCTATTTAGAGGTGACCTCCGTGTAGGGTGTGTTTTTAAGTCAATGGCCTCTGAGCTACAACAGAAGTAGAGGTGGCTCAGAGGAGAGGCAGAGCTGGGGAGGGAGACGTTGTCACACCACAGGGAGATGGCCAGGGGACCGAGGTGTAAGGGCCTTGTTCAGAGCTCCCCAAGAGAGTAAGGCAGCCCACCGAGCCAGGGCTTCGGATCCACCCAGCAACAAGCAATGCCTGTGTGCTAAATCCACCCCTGGTAAGGTATTTCCGTGATAGGACCCTCTAAAACGGGGATAGGCCTGGCCAGGACTCCTGGAGACAGGGTGTCTCTGTACCTAGTTTTGTGCCAGACACATAGGGGAGCCCCGCTGGGGTGCCTGCACCAGCCTGCATCCTGTAAGAAACGGGGCAGCAGAATGGGTAAGGGTGCAGTTGCTTGGCGGGGGTCTCTGACACCGGCCAGCCACAGGACGCAGGGTCCGTGACTGAGCATCCCCCCTCATGCGTGGGCTTCCTTGTCTTGAACGCTGGCGTATACTCTGCCTCCCTGGGCTGCTGTGAAGTGACCTGGGTGGTGGCGGGGCCCAGGGGCTGGGGCAGCAATGTGCTACTGTCGTCACCAAGTTGCCTCCAAGCCCTGGGGACTCCATGCAGGACAGCAAAACACGGGGCCCAGTCCTGCACGATCTTCACCATTGCTGGCATCCCGAGCCCCTTGTTGGGGCTGCGTGCTGCCCCGCCCGGGGACTCCTCTTCTAAGCACTCTACCACAGGATGGCATTCAGCTGTGCTCCACAGGGCTGTCAAGGGCTGATCTGCAGAAGTAGGTTGCCAGCCCTTTCTTGCTGCTCTCTTAGTCTGGAGGCGCTGCTGAAACCTTGCGGACTCTGGAAATACCAGCGTCATAGCGACATTTAAGCTCCATCCTGACAGGGGGGTGGTGGGGTGGGAGCAGCACTAGGGGGTAGAAAACCTTACTTGTTATTATGGCTGCTGCAACTGCCATCACTCTACAGCCCACCTCCCCACAGCCTCACAGTGGTGCCGGCACAGAATGCCGGCACTGGGAGAATCAAGGACAGGAAGGCCGGCCAAGCTTGGACCAGACTTTACACAGGGCGACAATGCCCTGAGAGTAGCCAGGGAGATGCAGCCCCCAGAGGCGGGAGAGCTTGAGGAGGGGAGAGAGTACAGCCCTCACCTCCAGCACCAGCCTCCCAGCGGAGGTCTCTTCGTGCTGCCCACATGGGTTACAGTGCTGTGAGACTGGCATAGCATGCCATCCAAGAGCTGCTTGCCTTAAGCCCCAGTCCTCTCTGAGGGCCAGCACGGAGCACAGTGTCCGCAGCTGAAGGGCTGACTCATGTGTCCACTTGCTCTGGACTTTGTTCTCGCTGGATAGCTGTTGCTGTTGGTTCCAACCCACAGCGACTCTCTGCATAACAGAATGGAACGCCATCCGCACCGTGGTCCCGCTTGAGCCCACTGTTGTAGCCACAGGGCTGATCCATGTCCTGGAGGGCCTTCCTCATGGGCACTCACTGCCCTTCCACTTTACCCAACGTGATGTCCTTCTCCCAGAACTGGCCTCTCCTGACATGTCCCAAGTCTGTAAGATGACATCTCGCCATGCTTCCCTCTTAGGAGCACGCTGGCCTTACTTCAAGACAGATCGGTTTACCATCTTAGCAGTCTGTGGGGCTTTCGATATTCGCCAGCAGCACAATTCAAATGCATAGATGCTGGATTGCAGTTTTAGATATTCTTTTTTATCCACTCCTCAGTCTACACCATACCCATGTGCGCACGCGCACACACACACCTATTTTATTGAGAGTAAAGATTCCCGGGTCTGGGCCAAGGGAACAAATGAAAGAATGCCCCATATTGGTGCCAGCAGGTGCCCCTGAGTCAGTTCCGACTCCTGTGTGGCAGGTTAGAACTAGCTCGGAGGGGTTTCTGGACTGTAATCTCAATGCAACCCTTTCAGCCAAGAAACTGGAAAATTCTACCAACGTCTTCAGTCAGAAATTGATCAAACATGCGATCAAGATGCCGTGATCGCTACGGAACCTGGAGCTTGATGTTGGAAACAAAGAGGAAGGCCCGGTGGTTGGAAAAGGTGGCCTTGGGCGTAGAAGCCGGGCGGGAGATTGCGTGACAGCACCTGCAAGACCCACCGCTTCACTGTGGCCGCAACAATGGGCTGGAAGGTGAGGGCCACTGCGAGGGGCGGGGCAGGCAGTGGTTTCCTTGTTGCACACAGGGCGACTGAGTCGGAACCCACTCAACGGCACCAACGACAACGACGATGGTCTTGTGGGAAATACCACTTTCCAACCACATCAGTGGTGGTTGTGCACAGGACCCAAACTGACTACACCTGCGGGAAGAGGCCACGGAGAAACTCGTTATTGGCTGCTAGAACAAGACTGGGGCTGACTGTGGGACAGATCATCAATGGCTTCCACGTACACTTCAGTTGAAAGGGAGGGAAGGTGAAAGAAGTCCAAACTGTGACCCTGAGTATATTATGCCACCTGCATTCGGAGAACATCTCAAGGGGGGCAGATGGGATGTGTTCAACACTGATGACCGAAGACAGGCATGGGTGTGGGAGGTCATCAAGAGCATCGTAGATGAAGAAAGCAAACCCCCAAACCCAAACTCCCTGCCATCGAGTCTGCTGACTCACAGTGACCCCCAGGGGTTTCCAGGACTGTGACTGTTGACGGGAGTAGAAAGCCCAGTCTGTCTCTCGAGGAGCTGCTGGCGGTTTCAAACTGCCAACCACGAGGATTACAGCCCAACGGGTAAACAGGACACCACCAAAGCTCCCTGGTCACCAAAAAGCCAGGAAAGAAAAACACGGTCAAAGTAGATGGACGAAGAGACTGGGAAACTTGCCCTTGAACGTAGAAGAGCTCAAGAGGTGGTATATGATCAGGAATCAATGGTATGGGTGCAAGCTTCCCTGGGGCACTAGTGATCGTGTCAATACACGCTGATGAAGCACTAGAAGCACTCACTCATCTGTGCCAAGAAATTTGGAAGACAGTTACCTGGCCTACCAAGTGGAAGAGATCCATCTTTGTACCTGCCCCAAAGAGAGGTGGCCCAACACGATGAGGAACTCCTAGAAGGATATCATCGATGGCACACCAGTCAAGGTCGGCTGAAGAGGATTCAACCACAGTTGCACTCACGTATGGTCAGGGAGCTGCCAGAAGCTCCAGCGGGATTCAGAAGAGGCCATGGGACCAGGACACCATTGCTGACATCCATGGGCCATGGCTGAAGCACTTGCTGTTGCTAGGAGCCCTCATGCTTGTTCGGAATCCCAGCAGAACAAAAAAAACACCACCAGGCCCTTCCCCCTCACAACGGTTATGTTTGAGCCCATTGTTGCAGCCACTGGGTTAATTCGTCTCCTGAGGGGCCTTCCTCTTTTCTGCTGCCCCTCTAACTTTACTGAGACGAAGCCTTCTTCTCCCATAAAGATGTGCGGCCCCAACACCGCCGGGGCAGTTCTATGCCATCCTCTGGGGTTGGCATCGACTCGAGGGCAGTGGGTGTTGACTGGTGGTCAGAAATTCTGATGCACTCTAGGGGCTGCAACAACGGGCTGGAGCAAGGCAGCCCACGATGCCGAGGCTGGGGCCGGACGGGGCAGTGACCGTCTTGTTGTACAGACCAAAGGTCGCCTAAGCACTGCCGCCAGCCGGGCAGAGCTGTCCCGTTGTTTGCACTGCGATGCCCTCGCTCCAGCAGTGATCAGGCAGCCTTGCCTTTGTGCCCTGAGGCCGGTGGGCCCCTGGCCACCCCGGTGAGGACTCACCCCTTCTGGGAGTGCTTCATGGCCATGTGGATGGGGTAGCCGCTGGGCCCCAGGACGTTGCAGCGGGCATTACAGAGCAGCAGCACACGCACCATCTCCTGCTTCCCCAGCTGGCAGGCCAGGTGCAGCGGGGTCAGGCCCTGGCTGTTGACCTGGTTCAGGCCGGTCGACGTGCTCTTGCCTAGAAGCTGAAAGCAGCACAGGGAGGTGGGCTGAAGCCCACAGGCGGAGACAGCCCTGTGGGTCCCCCTGGAGCCCACCTGCCACTCCCCGCCCCCCGGGGACAGATGGGAGGGTGGCAGGACTCTGTGAGGATGCTACACACCAGGAGCAGCTTCAGAGAAGGGAGGAGCTGGAGGAGGCAGGGCCGGCCACGTGGGGTGGACGGGGCCCTGGCCCCGAACAGGTGGGGAGTGTCCAGGACATTGCTGAACCGGCACCCGTGACCCCCCAAAAGGTGGCAGTATCTGGGGCCTAGAGGGAGCCCTCTGGCTACACATTACTGTCTCCCACCAAAGCATCAGTATTAAAAAGAAAGTTTGGAGCATGTTGTCCCTGAGGGTCACATGTGACCACTGTGAATCCATGTGACCCCGGGATTGACTCCTGGGGACAAACCCCCAGCTCTGAGGCCTTCCTGGGGGCAGCGCTGGGCTGCCTGAGCCTCACGTCCTTTGGTGAAGAGAGGGACTGATGACCCAGAGGGTGTTAGGCACACTCACTGGACTGAAATTTGGACAATGGTCAGAACAGAGCCAGGCACGATGAGCCCAGCCTGGATGGACAACAGCTGGGATGGGGGCGGGTGGGGGGCCTTCCTCCGCGGGGGCAGCACTGCCTTCCCTGAGAGCACGAAACCATGGCATGAACCCATATGTGCTAGGACAAAGTGCTCCTCTGTCCCCAAGGCTAGGACCTCTAGGGCCTTCTAGTGCTGGGCCCAATTGTTTGCCTTTTCCTTTCAACTGGTTATCAAATGGTCTTTCCTTGACAGCCAGGTGCCCTAGGGTGCAGTGATTCAGCTGGGTGCTAACCACAGCGCTGGCAGTTTGAACCCACCCACAGTTGTACGGGCCACAGATGAGGCCACCGGCTTCTTCAAGGTGATGGTTTTGCGCCCCCTATGGGGCAGTCCGCTCTGTCCTACAGGGCTGCCGTCCATCGGGATGGACTCCACAGCAGTGGCTTCAGATCGCTGGTTCCTTAGGACTGCGCAGACTTGCTCACATGTCCCTCTGCCCAAGGGATCCAAGAGCTACAGGCGGGGTGCCCAGGGGGGTAAAACGCCGAAGGAACCTGCAGGAGTCACCCGAGTGCCTGCAAAAAGTCACGCTTGGACGGGGGCCCTGGCCTTTGGGGCTGGCAGGAGAGCAGCCAGCACACAGCAGGTGCTCAGGGGAAAACCAGACTGAATGGATTGCCTGGAGCTGGTCATCCATTGCCTGGAACTCAAGTCATTAGGGGCCTGGCGTGTAGTCTGCTGGGCTAGCGGCCCCGCAGAGCTGTCAGCTGATAGTGACCAAGGGTACATGTCATCCACAGGTGCGGGAAGGGGGCTGCTCAAGACTGAAGGGCCGTGTGTGTGTGTGTGTGTGTGTGTGTGTGTGTGTGTGTGTGTGTTTTGGG